TATATGTATCAATTTGAGAGATACATGGGCATTTTGAAAGGATATGTGAGAAATCGATATCGGCCAGAAGGGAGTATAATTGAAGCTTATGGCGCTGAAGAAGTCATTGATTTCTGTACTGATTATTTGGCTAATGTTAAGTCCATTGGTGTTTCTAAATCACGTCATGAGGGAAGACTCACAGGAAAAGGTACCATTGGGTTTAAAACACATGTCCTAAGTTAAATAATCCGAAATCAAGCACATTATTTGGTATTGCAGCAGCTTTTTGAGGTTCATCCATATTTGAAACAACACATGTCTATTATAAGGCAACAAAATCCTTCTAAGGGTGAAATGTGGGTGACAAAAGAACACAATTGTACATTTATCACATGGTTCAAAGATACAGTGATGCAAGAGTTATCTCAAGTGTCAAACAATATCAGTGAAACCATTAGATGGTTAGCGTATGGCCCTGGGTTAGTTGTGAGCACTTATCAGGGATATGATATTAATGGGTATACGTTTTACACAAAACGTCAAGATGAAAAAAGTATGGTGCAAAATAGTGGAGTGACATTAGTAGCACTATCAAGAGAGTATTCTAGTGCTAAAGATACTAACCCGGTAGATGCTACTATGTCATACTATGGAGTCATTGATGAAATCTGGGAACTTGATTATAAGGTGTTTAGCATTCCTCTATTTCGATGTTCTTGGGTTGATAACAGACGGGGTCTCCGTGTAGATGATTTGGGTTTTACCTTAGTTGATTTTGGTCGGCTAAGATATCATGATGAACCATTTATACTTGCATCTCAAGCTAAACAAATCTTCTATGTTTATGATCCTATTGATAGTAAGTGGTCAATTGTCTTACAAAGCAAAAGAAGTATTGTTGGTGTTGGTGATGTTGTGGATGAAGAGGAATATGACCAATTTGATGAAACCCCACCATTTGCTATTGGTATTCAACTTGTGGCTTTAGGTGAAGATAACATTGATACTAATTACATGCGTACTGATCATGAAGAAGGGTTGTGGATTGACCATCCAACAGTATAATTTCTAAAACGTAATCTTATTATTTTTTTTATAACATGTTTACATTTTATAAAATATTCTTTATAACATAGTTATCTTATGCATGTGCAGGTATATATATACGATCACACAGATCCGATGGTATAGGAGTCTTCAAAGCAAACAGGGAGCAAATTGCGTAAAGCAAGAGGAGCTACAAGTTGCAGTAAAATGAAAAAGAAGAAACCAGACGATGAGTCTATGTTAATTGAGTTCGATGACATGCATAGGCCTATTGGCCCAAATGCAAGGAAGTATGCAAATTACCTTGGCCTTATGGTTCGTATTCACATAGACATTAACATTGGTGAATGGCGTCAAGTCTTCAGCGGGGTTAAAGAAGCGGTTTGGCATGAACTTAAGGTAATAGTCAATAATTTAATTTATATATATGTTAATGTCAATAAAGGTCTAATTATTTGTTATTTTTTTGTTGTTATTCAGAAAGAGTTTAATATCCCTGATAAAGAAAGAAATAATATTTTGGACCATGCGCAGGTACGTTGGAAAGATTTCAAGTCAAGATTGGTGCGTGAATTCATCAACAAAAAGAACCCAAGATATAGCTATCCTTGTGAGTATTATGACTTCTTGAAAGAAGAACAATGGGAGAAATTTGTAAAAAAAACAGGAAACTAAAGCCTCCAAGGTACACTACAGCATTTACTTGCTTAATAATCATGTTTTATTGGCGTGGACTTAATGTTTTATTATTATTAACCTATTATAGGCCAAAAGTCAAAAGTATAGGGAGTTGCAAGCGCGAAATGAGCATCCCCGCTATTTATGGTCTAAGGGCTATGTTGGAAAGCAATCTGAGTGGTTGATATGCGACCCATTATCTTCACAATCTTCTTGTGCTGCTATTACATCGACCATAGCATCTACTGATCGTAGTTTGGATTGGGTTCGAGCGCGATCTAAAAAATCTGAGGATGGAAGTTATTACATTCCCAACGAAAAAACGAAGGGAGTGTTTGATAAAATTGTAAGTAATACAAATGCTTTATATATATATATATATTATTGACGAGAATGCTAGCTAACATGTATATTTTAAATCTTGTTTGTGTTGAAATAGGTCGAGAAGTGTGAAGAGATAAGTCAAGGCTCATTCCAACCAAAAAGGCAAAATGATATATTGACATCAGTACTTGGCACCAATGAGTACGGTGGCTATGTGAGAGGTGTTGGAGTGCACTCCAATATTCGGGATGTGTTTGGTAAACCGGAGAGCATAAGTCGTGGAAATTCAGCTGGGGTTGTTTCAGATATGGAGAAGATCATAGAGAAGAAAATATATGAGAAAGTGGCTGAAAAGATTAGAAAAGAAGCAATAGAAGATATGCAATCCAAGTTAGAAATGATGCAATCTCAGGTAGAATATTTGCTGAAGAATTCACAAGCAAGTCCAAAGGTTGGCACACAAACTCGAAGCAGTTGTCATTCTATTGATCCATTAAACAAGGTTAAGGTAATATTGAATATCTTTAATATTTTGAATATCTGATATTCTACTTGTTATTAAGTCTTTTAATTTTTGATTCATAGGAACATTCAAAACAAACAAGATTGATGAATTTTGAAAGTGGTGATCAATCTGCTCTAGAATTACGACCACTTCTTGTTGATGATGATACACTGCAACAATTGGATCAATGCAAAAAATTTGTCAGACATCTTAGAAACTTGCCATCAGATTTAGATTGCATTGACGTGGACCTAGAAGAGGCAATCTTTCATCATTTAGATGTGAATTTCATTCACGTCATGTTTGAAGATGTTAAAGACATGTTGACGATGAAATGGCTTGATGTGACCATATTACAAATATTTATAATGTACGTATTTTTTATAATGTTTTTATATTTAAAAACTTTTCTTTAGTCTTTCATTTTTATTAATTATTTACATATGTTGTAGATGTCTTCATCGGATGTGCGACAAAATTAGAGTTACTACAATTGGATTTCTCTGCCCAAGAACTATTTGTAGGGACCGCGTAGTTGATGATACTGATAAGGTCACAAGATATTTGGTTCGTGCCCTGGGTCAACAGAGGGATCGAAACTTCATTTTAGCTCCATATCATCAAGAGTAAGAAAACTAAATTTATATTTTTAATTATTTATATAACTTAATTGAATTATTTGTGAATAACGTTTAACATATTTATTTAAATGCTGTAGAAATCATTGGATGCTTTTAGTTATTTGTGTTCAATCAAGAAAAGTCTATGTATTAGATTACCGTGCATGTAAGCTCGAGTTGGAGATTAAGGCCACATTGAATGTGTAAGTATATATATATATATATATATATATATATATATATATATATATATATATTGAGAATTATTAACCATTATTGTTTATAAATTATTTATGAGTGTATATTATAGGGAATTTCGATCGATTGCAACTTTAGGAAGGAGAAGACCTAAAAACAACGTTGATTGAGATACAATTGAGGTATATATCAAAATTAGAGTATTAATATTTTTTACAATTTTATTAGTTATGTTTTTATTGTTTAAATAAATAATATATATACATAAAAACTCATATTTTGTAGTGTCCTCGACAACCGGGTAGTGTGGAGTGCGGTTATTATGTGATGAGATACATGTATGAAATATGCACTCTATATTTAGATTTTGAACATTTAGACACGGTATGTAAAATTTATTAAAACTAAATAGTTTTAAATTACACTTTATTAATGTTAAAACTAATTATTTGATTATTTTAAATTTTTGTAGGCATTTGATGGAAAGCCTTACTCACAAGATCAAATTGATGAGATTCGTGATGTTTGGTCTAAATATTTTATTGAAGAATGTATATAAAGTTTTGAACTCTTATTTATTGATGATGTATTGTTGGTACTTAGCTAGCTTATTACATGTATGTGTTGCGAACTTTAATTTGAAGTGTTGAGAACTTTGAAGTGCATGTTGATATTGTTGTGAATGTATGGATTAAAGTGGTAAAGTGTTGAAGTTTAGTTTACATATGTGTTGAAAACTTTGAAGTGTTGATGTATGTTGTGAATTGAATGTATTGAAGTTTAATTTAGTGCTAAAGTGTTGGTAATGATGTATTGAAGTTTAGTTGAAACTTGAAAGCTTTGAAGTGGTAGTGGTTGTGACTGCAGGATGTGAATAATATTTTTTGTACAGGAAAAAAACTGGAATTTTTATCAAATTAAATAAATTAAAAAAATAATTAGAATTCGCGTCCAAAGTTGAGGAACTTTGGACGCGAATTATCACTTTTAAAATATGATAATTCGCGTCCAAAGTTCTTCAACTCGTCCAAAGTAACTTTGGACGCTAATTGTATATACAATTAGTGTCTCCTACATCCGCGTCCAAGCAACTTTGGACGCCTTTTAGCCTTAACTTCGGACGCGAATGACTGTTTTTGTACTAGTGCATGTCAAGCCACTTGCATATGGACCATTTAATGCTCAGCTGAGCTGCTTAGTATAAATAGGATGGTCATTCCCTCACTTGTCATATCCAATGTATTGTTACACAAAGTCACATGTCAGATTCATCACTTCGCAATATCACATCACTTGTGGTATTCACTACATTGTACCATATACTTCACTTATAATCATCTTCTTCTCCATAATACAACATTGCTTAGTCCACTTAGTCGTCACCCGACAGACTGACTGACTAAGCGCCCTTCTACTTGCTTACTAGATACGCATTTGTAGCGTAATCTTGACTCCCAGTCCATTTACGCTATCAATAAGAAAGTAAGTAAACAAGAATGAGTTAATTTGACCCATAAGGCCATAAGTAGTAAATATGATAAGTAAAATGAGATTACACCTAGTAACTTTTCTACCTTCAATACAAAAAATAGTTCATTGACAAAGAAAATTCTAAGTTAGTATCTAATGGTGTGCACTAAGTACCTCTTGTGATAGTCCACAAATTAGAAAAGATAAATTAAATTAAGAAAATCTTGTGAGACAGACTTGAATGAAAATTTAAAAAAAAAAACAAAAAGTTTCTTCCAATAATATCTAAACATGTGACGGAGAATCTTACTCTCCAAAAATAAACACTTATCAAGATCGGGAAAAAAAAAAAAAAAAAAAAACACTTCCGTTTTCTAACATTCCAACCAAAACGGAATAACACAGATACATCAATCATTAATCGGTCTATACGGAGTACGTACGTTTCTTCCGCTGGAATTCCTTGTCATGTCGAACGAGACATTGGAACTTTCCCCCACAACACTCATCACTATCATCACTGCCCTTGTCGTCTCTCATACTGCGCTCAGAGCTATCACTGATCTTTTCAAAATGCTTTTGCAGAAAGCTGTAGCATCTCTTTACCATCTCCTGCAACACAAGCATACATTTACTTCACCGACAACAATAATAATTGGATCAATTTGTTCCATCTGTTCATCGTCTTCAACACAGTCCGAGAATATATACATACACCTCACTCACCTTGCTCAATCTTTCGTCGTCTACGTTCTGTCCCGTCGTCCTCAACAAAGCTGCTACTGCTATCGTTGATGGAGAATATTGCCGGAACTCGGGATCTGTATATGAAATGGAACAGGATCGTATCATTATTGTCTGCAACATTCCGTTGACGATGATGCGTAAAATACAAATTCGTAATATCACTATGAGTTTGATTTTTTAGTTGAAACTGAACATATTGACCTTGTTTGGTAAAATAGTTAGTATATCAGCTAATTTTGATTTGTTTAACCACTGTTAGTGGTTTGATAATCAATGTAAATGTTTGATTAATTAGTTTTTTGGAGTTAATTACCGATTTGGTCCCTCGACTATAAGGATTTCACCACTTTAGTCCTCGACTTTTAAAATTGACCAATTGCATCTTCGACTATGAATTTTTTACCCGAAATGGTCATAATCCTTAGACATCCGTTAACTAGGGACCAAATTGGTAATTTTGCTATAGTCAAGGGACCATTTCGGTCATCACATGCACCATTTTCTCCGAAAGTTAAGTACTGAAATAGTCCCTTGACTATAGCAAAATTACCAATTTAGTCGCGAGTTAACGGATGTCTAACCGTTAGGACCTTTTTGGGTAAAAAAACAAAAAAAAAAAGCATAGCCGGGAACTAAATTGAGGAATTTTAAAAGTCGATGATCAGAGTTGTGAAATCCGCATAGTCGAGGGACTAAATCGGTAATTAACTCTAGTTTTTTGTAACAGCTTATTACTCTAAAAGACTAAAATTAAAAAGGCTATTCAAAGCAGCTTTTTGAGAAAGTTATTTTGGCCCTGTTTGGTAAAAAATTGGCCTATAGGCCAATTTTGGCTTATTTGACCATTATTAATTGTTTGATTTAGTTAAAATATCAAAATAAATGTTTGGTTAATTAGCTTTTTGCAACTCCAAAAAGCTAAAATTTAAAAAGCTACTCCAAACAACTTTTTCAATTAGCTTTTTAAAAAAAGAAATTATACCAAACAGCTATCAGCTAACAGCTAATTTAGCAAACACTTTTCTACAATCAGCTAATGTTATCACCTATTTATACCCTCTAATTAACACAATCAGCTAATAACTAACAATTATCAGCTAACAGCCATTTTACCCAACAGGGCCAATTTGCTTATAATCACTAATTCACTATCACCTAACAACTAATTTACCAAATATCTTTCTGCAATCAATCTATACTATCAACTAATCAAACTCACTAACTTAATCAGTTAACATCTATCCGTGGACAACTATTTAACAAACACCCCGTTATTTAATTTGGTATCCTAGCCAGATTTGTGAGGATAGTATTATGTATTACCTTGGCAGGCCCAGAGAATAACATCTGAAGCATTAGAGAGAAGTTGAGTGGAATGTGTGTTTGGAATTGGTGCTTTTGCAGCGTAATGATGGAGGAAATCGAACGGCGTGATGATACGCAGTCGCCATTCGAGTCCCGCCATGATCAGGAGCTCCATCCTCTGAATGGTTTTGGGCGTGAACACGAATTCCGGTTTCCAGATTTGTAAATCCATCAGAGATGGCACCGCGGTTTCCTCCATCTTGGCCGCCAACGACAGGCATGCAACCGATGCCAGCTGCCACGCCCACCGTTCCCACTCCTTCTGCAGCAAACAGACATTCCGATCAATCGATCATCGGATAACGTATACGTCTATCAAGTATTATGCTAGGCGGATCGTATCTAGCTAGCGGACAATTCGATGAACTTACTGGAAAATGGTGAGACGACAGAAAGCGGTTGAGATAATTCAGCGCGAGATATCCGGTTTCGCCTCTGAAATTGTAGTAACGATGCACCTGCAGCCAAATTCCTAGCGATTTCAGTACCTAAGCTAATACACCATACATTTACAGTAAAATTCAACGGTGGATTCACCTGGAGCATCCATCGGACGGCATTGCGTCTAGCAGATTCAAATTCATCGTCCCGCGGCAACTCTCTGTCCACGTCCAGACGCTGCATCTGTTCCAGTTCCATCCGAAACATGTTATCGATGGAGCTATGGCCGTCGTGATCGTCGCAATCGCCGGGAAACTCGAAGTCCAAACTAGAAGAATTGTCAGAGAGAGCAGCTTCATTGCAGTACAGATCAGGAGAACGGATCGCGGAATCGTCATTCAGTGACGCAGGCATTGAAGGTTTCAGAGTACTGCTAACAGGCATGTCTAGCTAGCTAGTGCAGTAGCATATCATGCTGTGTTATTGTGACCGGTCAATTCAATTCCATCTAAGAACACTTATTTGAAGATACACATATTTGTTGCTGGTTGAAATGAATGAATTAGGGACCATAAGAACAGTTATTTGAAGCAAAAGATGAATCACGGGTCGAGATTCTAGCTGAATGTTGGATCAATAATTAATTTCATGAAGAAATTCTTCATGGGACCCAAATCTTCCTTTTTTGATGCTTCATTTCAATGGATTAAGCCTGGTGGACCATGAGGAGTACTCCCGGTGAACCTTCGCACAGGAGCATCCAAAATAAATGGGGACAAAATGTCGAAAAAAATATTCTCAGCATGGAAGTTTGATCTAACTGCGCTAACATTATATTGCAAAATACTGTTTGCAAAGGACTACGTAATCTAGTCTCGATCTTTCAATATCTGTTCTCCGACTGTATATAATTTTAGGAGAAATGACAAATTGTTACTGAATTATAACAAAATTATTTTATGAGAAACTGACAGTTTAAGTTTTAATCTCTAATTATAACTATAGTGTAGATTTAATTTTTTTTGATTAGTATTAAAGTAGCTAAATTTGTTCTTCAAATACAAGGCAACTACTTTATTAAGGGCATCCTCAATAGATGGGGGTTTTTCCTCATTTTTTTGTAGGTCCCAACATCCAAAGCAATCATCTACTATCTCATTCAATTACAAAAACTCTTCTTCCTATTAGTTTTAAATTTTTTCACAATTTTTTGTGAACCCACCATTTACTCTACTATATTTTAATTATTTTTTTATTTATTATCATTATAATTTATAAAAATTATAATTATAATTATTATTTTTATTATATTTAAATTAAACATATCAAAATTTAAATAATTTTATAATAAATGTTTTAATGTATATAACATTTAGTTGAAATGATAATTATAAAATTAAATTACTAATAAATACAATATTTAAAATTAAAATTATAAACTATACGACTAAAATAGATTATATAAACAAAAAATAATTTTATTAAAAAATAAAAATTGTGGCCGTTGTTGTGCAATAGCAAGGGGTGTGCAAAACCCGAAGAAATCGACCGACCGAAGACTGGTTCACCCAACCCGGTGAAATCCGAACCCGATCAGTGGAAACCGACCCGCCTTTTAAACGACGTCGGCCTGTAAGACTTCGGGTAGGGGGTGGAGAAATTCACCCGAACCGTCCGATTATCCGATCTAACCTAGGGTTACCTACAACTAATATGATACGGCGTCATATATATATATATATATATATATATATATATATATATATATATATATATATATGACTTCATATCTCTCCTCATTTGCCCTTCGCGCAGTCGAAGCTAGGGTTTCTCTGTCTCTCTCACCCTCTTAGTCTCTCACTCTCTGAGTCTCTGAGATTTCTCTCCATTCTCCCTTCGCAAATCGCAATTCTGAATTTCTGATTTCTCTCAACACACTACTCTAAATCTCTCACTCTCTGAGATTCATCCGTTGTGTAGTCTGGTACTCCGGTGGTCTGGTCTTAGCCTCTCAGGTCTGGTGGAAGCCCTTGTTGCTGGTGCTGTAAAAAGAAGCCCTTGTTCTTCGGGGTATTTGTGAGAAACGAAGTAGTCTAACCCTAGTTTTTTAAATCTGATTTCCTAAAGTTGCTATGATATTATGTGAATTTGTGATATGTTATGTGACTTATGTCACTTATGTGAATATCTAGTGGAAGTACTGACTTATTGTAAACCCTAGTTTTATACTGTGATTACTGTTAGTTTGTGAAATGTTTTGAAGCATTTTGTGAGAATTTGTGATATGTTATGTGAATATCTGGTGGAAGCACTGACTTATTGAATGTTTATTACAAACCATAGTTTGATATTGTTAGTTTGTGAAATGTTTTTCTCATTTTGTGAGAATTTATGATATGTTCTGTGACTTCTGTCACATATCTGGTGGAAGCACTGACTTATTGACTGTGTATTGCAAACCCTAGTTTTATAATTTATACTGTTAGTTTGTTAAATGATTTTCTCATACTCTGAGTCTGAGTTTATGAGAAATTGTGATATACTGATGTGGTGGAAGCCCCTAAGTAGTGAAATCCAGATAATGATGTCTGATGAACATGAGGCCATGAGCTGTATAATAATTATAACAGTCTCTGCCTTTGGAAATAATTATAATAGTCTATGCCTTTGAAAATGATGACACAAAATGTGTCTAATTCTGGAATGGTTTCTGCTTTCTTGCTATGTGATTCTGTGTAATTGTATGGCTGACTGTGAGACTGTCTATTATTCTTGAATATGAACCATACTTATGTGTACTGATAGTTAACCATTTCTTAGATGGAAAATATCAATATGCCTAGTACTCAAACTCCCAACTCTTCAGTAGAGGGACCTTTATTAGGGGTGGAAGCCCAAACTGTTGAGCAAAATGATCAACAGAATGTGCAACCTCCTGTTGCTGTTCCTGAAAAGAAGAGGAAGCAGGTTGATTCTAGATCCAGAGTATGGGATCATTTTGAGAAAATAAATGACCACAGTAATGGTGTTACTGTAAAAGCCAAGTGTATTTACTATGCAAAAGTGTATCAGCGTGAGTCAAAAACACTGGTACATCTTCCTTAAGAAACCACATGTTGAGTTGTCTGAAAAATCTCTGCTCCAAGGATACTAGGCAGTCTCTTTTAACATTTCAAGCTGTTACATCTTCTGATTCTGCTCAGCCTATTTGTGGGGAAAATAGGGACCTGGGTATTTAACCAAGAGTCAATTAGGAGGGCCTTGGTTGAAATGATAATCATTGATAAACTCCCCTTTTAGATTTGTGGAGGGAATAGGTTTCAGGAGGTTCATAGCTATTGCTTGCCCTAGGTTTATAGTTCCATCTAGATGAACTATAAATAGGGACATCCTAGTTGTCTATGAAGAGGAGAGACTAAAACTGAAGGCATTTTTAAGGGGAAGCACTCATAGGGTTAGTATCACAACTGACTCTTGGATATCCATCCAAATGATTAACTACATGGTAGTCACTGCCCATTTCATTGATTCTGAGTGGAGGCTTCATAAGAAAATCATTGCACTTCTCCTTATTACCTCTCACAAAGGTGAATATATAGCTAAAGCCCTAGAGACTTGTTTGCTAGAGTGGGGGCTTAGGAATGTCTTTTCTGTGACTGTTGATAATGCCTCATCCAATGACACTGCTATGGGGTTTCTGAAGAAAAAAATGGTATCTTGGGGAACCATCCACTGTGAGGGCAAAGTATATTCACATGAGATGTATTGCCCATATCTTGAACTTGGTAGTTCAAGATGGTCTGAAAGACTGTGATAGTTCTGTCAAGAAGGTTAGGGAGGTGGTAAGATATGTTAGAAGCTCTCCTGCTAGGCTTAGGGATTTGGCTTATTTTTTTAGTATTGAACTTCCAACCAGATGGAACTCTGCCTATTTGATGTTGCAATCTGCATTAAATTACTAGAAAGTGTTTGAATCTTTGGAATCTGATTGTTCTTTCAAGGTTGACTTGGGTAATTCTATTCTTGATTTTATGGACTGGAAATCAGTTGGCAGTTTGGTCCAGTTATTGAAGTGTTTTTATGACATGGTCATTAGAATTTCTGGTTCTTTATATGTCACCTCAAACACATTCTTTACCGAGATTTCTGATCTGTACTGCCTATTGAAGGGCATGGTGGAAGCTGGTGGGGCAGTGGGTGATATGGGAAAAAATATGAAGGCAAAATTTGAGAAGTATTGGGGTGATGTTGATAAAATGAATCTAACGATTTTTTTTTATTTATTTTTATTTGCAAACATTCTAGACCCTAGGGACAATTAGAGTATATACCTACTAAGCTTAATCATATGTATGGTGAGGAAAAGGGTAAACCATACTATGTGAAAGTGTTTGCTGCTCTGACTGAGTTGTTTGATGATTATTCTGTCAGTTGTAACCCTACTGGTGTGAGACTTGTCCCTTCTGCTCCTGTTTCTGTTCAGTATTCATCTGCCTCTTCTGTTTCTGTTGGGAGGCCACAACATTTACTCAAGTCCCAAATTAAAAAACATATATTGGAGTCTGGGGGTAAGAAACAAACTGAGTTGGATATATACTTGAGTGAGGCAATAGTTGAAGAGGGAGAATTTTTTGATATACTTGGATGGTGGAAGATTCACTTTGCTAGGTTTCCAGTTTTGTCTAAGCTTGCTAGGGATGTCCTAGCCATTCCAATCTCAACTGTTGCCTCAGAATTTGCCTTCAGTACATTTGGGAGAGTATTGGATCCTTTTAGGAGTTCATTAACTCCAAAAATTGTGGAAGCATTGGTGTGTACACAAGATCGGATTAGAATGCAAAATACTCCTTTATGTATTGAGGAGAGAATCTGGAAGAGTTGGAGAGGTTTGAAAAAGGTATAACTTTAGTCTTTTGGTCTTTAGTCATTAGTGTTTTACTGTTTTATACTTATATGTTAAATTGTTAATACTTTTAACTTTTGTTTATTTTGCAGAGTTAAGTGGTGATGGTGGAAGTGGGAGATCTCTTGGTTCTACACTTGCTACGATTCCTGTAATGTTATTCTTTACATTACTTGATTTACTTCTGTAGTTCTTCTGATTTTATTGCAATCTTTTACCGTATTTGACTCAATTGCAATCTAATTTCACTAGGTTTTTTTTAGCCCACTATGACTGATTTTATTAGTTACTAGCTTGATCATTTATCAATTTCTTGCACTGGACATCTGTAACCCTGTAAGTATGAAGGCCAGGTAACTTTTACTAAGTTGCTGCCTCAAGTCCCTTGGACATTTGGTTGGTAATGTATGAACTATTTTATTATGTTTGTTCCCGTTAAGTTGGCAATGATGAAGCTTCCACCTTTAATATGAAAATGATTAAGTTGGTGAGTTGCTCTATACTTAAGTTATATTGAAGCAATTTGCCCTTAATCCAATTTGATATGGAAAAAATGCTTACTAAGCCAAAATTGATATAATCCATTCTCTGTGTTTCTTTTTTTTCTTTTTCTTTTTTTTTTCTTTTTTTTTTTTTTTTGTTTAGAATTCTAATGCTTGCTTGTGTACTAATTATTTTCACTAACTTGTC